GTATATTTGTTTCTGGATATTATTCCAAACAACGTTATTGTACGAATGAAATGTTTTCAAGCTGATTTAATATAATGAGGATTTTCCAATATTAAATAAAAAAGTTACTTAAAAATTGAAATGAAAAATAAGTAAAAATGTACTGGTGGAATGTTTGCGTTTATTACACGGGTGTAGGCTTGTTTGTGATAAAACCTGATTTTCAGACTCCAGAAAGTGGTCAGGTTGTTCGCAAAAGTTTGAACACATGCAAATTTACCACCTACCATGTGGTAACATTATGAAGTCTGAGTAGTTTTTAGTAAATCCCCCATTGGATCTTGAGCTAACGGTTCTCCAACATGATTTATATTTTCATAAATGAAAAAAAATGTGTTAGGGAGGCAGGAGTGTTTTAGTTTCTGCAGCATTTTGGCCTTTTTTAGTTTCTGGTTAATGTACTTTTAGACATAGGGACAGTGTGTAGTTGAAAGAAGTTTTGACAATGGCTGTCTCACTGTGGATGCATATTGCTTCTCTCCAACCTCATAACTGCACTCTAAAAATGAAATGTTGGATTTACTTAATCATGTTATGTTACCTGGTTCCACTTAACTGAGTTGAGTAAATTCAAAGCAACATACTCATGTTCTTTGGCTAAAAGACTGGTATATTGCTTTGAATTTACTCAACTCAGTTACAGTAAGTGGAACCAGGTAACATAACATGGTTAAGTAAATCCAACATTTCATTTGTGGACTGGCTTTCCGAATCAGTTTCTCAAGCCAACGTGAAGTTTTACTGCTTTACCTCGTTAGACTAGAGCAGAACAATGGCAATGGTAACCAAAAATAAATAAATCTCACATCATGTGTCACAAACAATGACTGAATCAACCTTTTGCAAGACGAAGAAGAAGGAAAAAGTAACCATTTGAATTCCAAAGTTTCTGGTCCTGTTTAGTTTTCTGTGCTGATTTCCAACTATGTCCACCCTTTCATTTTAGCTCAAACATTAAATCCTGAATCACCTGAAGTTTTTCTTTTCCAGCACTTTTGTTTTGAAGATATTTGGCTGCAAGTGACTCAGCTTCTACCAGTCCATGCTTTGGTAGGCTGACAAATCCACCCACTTTAAACCTGCACAGCCTTCAGAAAACCTTTGTAGGTGACAGCTCCGTCTTCCATACTTGATGTCAAAAGTGCAGAGAGTAAAGATGACAAAAAAAAAAAAAGGTGACAAGACGGCTTACATCTGTCAGTAAACTAGCCACGACACTGTAAACTGAGGGGTTTTAAAAGATGCCCTGGGAAAATCAATAAGCATGCGTCTGAAACGCTACCTGCTCTKGGTGAAAGCACAGCAAATGATGACCTCTTCAGCTCCAACATCAGGGAGTCCAGRGGGTCCTGTCTTTCAAACGCTCATGATGTCTGAGGTCAGCTGTCCTCATTTGTCATTCTTGAGGTTTAGTAAATCAGGTCCAAAAGACTAACCTTGTCCACATCTACAGTAACTTGAAGACATGCTAGTGGAAGCTACTCAGCTGTGGAGCTCTGGTTTTATGCAGCATTGGGCTGAAATAACTTAACAAGCTGCGCCTCTGTATATCAAATGATCACCATTGTGAGCCTTAATGTTAATATAAAATATAAATACCTGACCTGAGTATTTAGATTTTCCCATCCTGGACTGTTTTAATACCTGAGTAACTTTTTTTTTCTTCTTGAGTTTTTGAAAGAGCTTCTAAACTGAGCTAAAATAAATAAAAAAATGAGTCATGGCAATATATTTTTCATATGGTCAGTATTGAAGGCCAAGCTGTAAATTGACTGAAATTCACCATACTTTAATCAAGTGGAGCATAATTAGTTACTGTTTTAATATTGTAACATCTGTCAGCCATGACACTTCTTAACAATTGTGCACTGAAAGGCAAACAACGGTTT